GTGGGTTAGGTAGGAACCACCGCAAGTGACTCCATTCTTTCTTTAATCCAAATTTCGGTATAATTAATCAATTAATTATTCTTTCCATCCCAAAAATCACAACAATTTGATTTTTCATTCTCCAAAAGGTGAAATCACTCATCCCGGGCGCCCCTCACCCCCGACCCGACGGGAATGTGAGAGAAGGTAAATCACGGTGATCCAAGCACAACACTTAGCTAGACCATATCCTAGTGCGCACCAGAGACTCCCCCCATTTTTCAGAGGTAGTCGCCCCCACAACGGTCGCTACCAGGTTTCGATCTTTGGTCATTCTCCAAGCTTCACCAAGTGCTTGCCACTTGGGCAACCCGTGCGGGTAACAATTTGATTTTTCAGTGCAACATTTTGAAGGAGCATAAAAATTAGGAGTGGGAAGTTGGAATGAGTTGAGACCGTTCGAGTTTTATATCGACCCGTGTGACGTCCTGTTTTTTTCAAATAATTTGGGCCACAAACTTATCCATCTTTGTCCCCAATTATTCGCGGTCGAGATAAACGGAAGAGATTTGGGTTTCCCTTCTTTGTCATTAACCGAAATTTGATATGAAATATAAACTACATAAGAGCATCTCCAAGGGATACTCTAAATTTTGGGAAGCTAAATGCTATTTTAGCTTCCGAACAGCGATTTAGCATTCCATTTTTTCACCACCTCTCCAATCATATCATCTACTTTTTACTCCCTCCGTTTGCAAAAAAATATCCTACTTTGACTTGGAGCCAAAATAAGGAAATGTAAAGTTATAGTTGACTTCTAATTTTGCCCATGATGTGATGGATAAAAGTAAGATGTGATTGATTGATTATTAGAGAAAAAATATGATGTGATAGGTAGGGTATGAAAAAGTAAGGGTAAAAATAGTTTTTCAATAGTAAGTGGAAGTGTTTTGTTGAAAATGGAAAAAATGAAAGAAGAAATGTTTTTGAGAACGGAGGGAGTACATCTTTATAATATTTTTTTAAAATACTTTATTACAAGTAGTTTAAATCTTAACAGTGAGAAATTTGAAGAAATTTCTTCAAATTCAGCCTTGAATTGCATCCCCACGGAAAAAAGCTCGGATGTTGGATAATCTGCTTGAGGCAATTCCAAAACACCAAAAATTAGCAAGAAAACAAACAAATCAAGATGATGATGGCAACCTAGGGAATCAGCTCGGAAGAGTGCCGCGATAGTAGAGGCAACAAACTCAGACTTCACTTTTGCTTCCATCTTCACCGTGCACAGATCTTAGAAGCTCAAAAAATATAGAAGACCACAGAGTACCTTTTATAATTGAAGGATGAAAAAGCAATTATAGAGGATAATTCATTTTTTGGAGGGTGCATTGGAGCTCTCTTTTAACAACAGTAAAAGGTATACCATCTATTTTTTAGCATATGACATATGCGTTGGAGTTGCCCTAAGGGGGAAGCTATCACTTTGACTTACAAAGTAATAATAAAAATGATATATTTATTTAGAATGTTTTAAAAAAGCAAAAACAATAAGAAAATATGAAAAATGTTACTACATACATCAAAAGTAAAGACTATAAACTTCATAAAAGCTATGAGCCACAAATTAGGATGAGTCGAGTTAGATGGTATGAATTTTTAGGTATTTCAACCCTAGTCTATTTTTAAGAATATTTGAATCTGGATATTTTTTAGATCTATATTGGAAAAATTAAAAATTGTGATACTTTTTTGTGTTATATCATTATATAACTAAATAAATAGATATATACATATATACGGGACAACAAGATAGAACTGGAAAATCTTTATATGTCTCAATCCTTTTAAAATTTTAAAATGGTTCGGAACGAGTTCGGGATATAATTTTGCCAACCCTAACGAAACAAGACATAATAGAGACAAGACCGAGATATTTTGATTTGGGACAACACTTTCAAGATTCTTGTCCATCCCAAATAAAAATAAGGTCGTATTCACTTTTTAAGGAAAATAAAGATGTTTATGATTTGATAAAAAATTCTCAATATCAACTATCAAGATACAACACGATTCACCGAATATGGAGAGCCAATGTCATAGCATGACATTGGTTCCAATTAACCCCACGGTGTCTTGTTGTAAAAATTGACGGTTCTTACTCTCCTTAACCTCGATAACCCCCCCTCCCCCACGAGCTTGACTCGAACCGACCTCCCACCCCTCTCCAATTGCACCCCACATATTCTGTTGACTTTAAAGTCAAAATTTTGACCTCAAACTCAACAGAATTTGTGGGGTGTGCAATTGGAAGGGTGTGGGGTCGGTTCGGGCTGAGGTGAGGGGGGTTGCTGAGAGAGAAAGGGTACGAACAGTTAATTTTTTGAACAAAGCATCGCAAGAGCCCTAAGTCATCCCATGATATTGATTCTTAATGTCAAGAGAACTATCACGATCAAGATAAGTTTCATATATTTTTATCAAGACTATTGTATCTTGTTGGTAAAAATATAATGCGGGCAGCCATCAAGATAGTATCTTGGGGATGAGCATATATGGTTCACCACGACGTTCAATCGCGTGATCCACTGAGATCACCTTTCGACTTTGTTTTGCACCCTCTTGTGAAGTGAATTTGAGACAATTACAATCTTCTTCATGCATCAAGAAAAGTTTGGTAATGCACATAGAGGAAAGTATGGTTTATCTGTTGTTTGGCAGAGAAGAGATCAACCAAAGCTATTAGTTCGATGCATTTTCTTCCAAAATTGGGAAAGCCGCAGAGTAAGTTTTGCTTTAATCAATCCTATATGTGTATTACCAAACTTTTCTTTAAGTTGAGGACATGCCAACCCACACATATGATGCAGGCATCATATAGTGAAGGCTTCGGGTCTCTTTGGGAATATCATTAGAGATTAGCGTTAGCGTTTTGGATAAAATTTTAACGGTGCAGATTACTTTGAAAACGCTAACGCTAAACGCTGGTCGTAGATAGTCTTTTCAAAACGCTAACGCTAATCTCTAACATTATTCCCAAACAGGCATCTACGTGTTTGTGGCCTCGAGCAGCCCAATCTTCTATGTGATATACGGATATGTGGTATGAGTTCTGATTGCTATTGTGTTTTGACTTGTCTTCATGATACGATTCCAAGGTTTGATTTCAACGATTTCACTAAAAAAACATATACTTACCCCTGACCATGGAAAAGGTTAATGCTCTACCGGAACTGATAGCTAAGACAACAACCGGATAGAGATGAATCAACCGGAACCAGCGGGAAATGCAGTTGGATAACCCGGGCAGATTCTGTTGGGTAAAGGCCTAGCAATAAGACCATCAGCCACCCAGCCTACTACTTCGCTATCATTCTTGACGTGTTCGAATTCCCTCTCAACGTATTGTAAAGACATTTGGAGTCTACCCCCGGGTCTACAGTCGCTGCGGACCCCACTTGATACAATCCCTGCATTTCTCTCCAACCAGTACAGGTAGTTGACATGAAACAGCGACTTCAGCATGTCTTGTTGTGAAGAGTTCTCTTTGAGTACAACCTGCTCCATTCCAAAACATATTAATTTAAACAGATTGCATACGTGATAATGGAAAATAATGGCACAGTTATAATGGAAGTTATAATGGAAAATAAAGGCAAATTCTTCTGTGGACCTCAAGTCAACGCTCGTTTTATGGACCTTAGCACATAAACAACATAAAAGATTTGGGCAGAAAAGATCTACTTGTAAGCCCATAAAAAGTGTGAGAAGGTGTACATTTTTCAGGTGAACCTTAGGACCACAGAAGCACAAGTCTAACATAAAACAGGGGTGTGCAGATTTTACCCCTAGTTGAAAGTAGAGAGGCTATTTTCAAGAGACCCATGCATGGCTCAAGCAGCACAGAAAGCATAAACAAGACAAGAAACAGATAGCATATCACCACATATATAGGACAACAAGAAAGAACGAAAATACTACTCCGTAGAAGAAAGAATAGAGAGGATAAAGCTTTCTTACACAGAATCTGCCCTCATGTTCTGCCAGTATATACTGCTCATTTTTGAAGAGGTCAAACATAGCAATTACGTCTTCCTTATTTGAAGCGATATCGGATAGTTTAGAACCCAGCTGTAACCTGCCCACAATGTGAGCAGCGGCTTTCTTAGCTTCTGTGGAGAGAACCTCACTTTGCACCTAACAGTCATATTATAGTAAACTACAATCAGATAATTCAAAGCCAACCTCTCTAAGAGATTAAATAACCAACCAACTGAAAAAACAAGTGAATAAAGAAATCTGTAACGCACTTTGTCTGCTGACTTCAAATGTAAAAGTGGAACAGCTGGAAAAAGTGGCTCCTCGCCGTTTACCTCCTTAATTGAAGGAACTGAGCCACTAAGCAGGTATTCGCTGAAAAGTAAACCTGAGATACCACATAAGGTACTTTAATGAACCCCAAAATAAATAACATAGCTTCATCGAGCCTTCCATTTTCAGTCAAAAGATATATAAATATGAATGTGTGGCTTGATGATTGGTTGGGGAAAAAAGGAAAAGAAAGAATCATGTTGTAGGGGCTAGGAACAAATGATTTACTAAGAGAGTGGCCATTAAAGAGTAAAATGTATACTTATGTGAGTGAAAATAAACAGAAATAATACTCCGTATAATTCTCTCCCGTCCTACGCTATAAAATTCATCCCTTCCCTCTTATGCATCCAAGTTTAGGTAAAAGTTGAGACAGCCTGAGCACCTTCAAAAAAAAGTTCCAAATGGCACAGATTTATACACACACTCTCTCTCTCCCTCTCCAACCCCGGCCCCATAGAGCCATCACCTTTGGTAGGTTCAAATTAAATACTAACAGCTTGACTTATTTTCCTCGATTGTGGAAGGACATTGTACTTCTTGTGAAACTAGCCGAGTGTCCAAATATAATAAAAAATTATCTTTGACCAAGCTCAAGGATCAAAAGCAACAACACAAGGACACTGTTTGGAGTTCAACAATACCACCCACACCATTGTATCGTGATCGTCCGTTGAAACTTGAAAGTCATCATGACCCAACTCCATTGTCATTTGTTGGATATGTTTTCATGTCTTTATGCTACTAATGGCAGATGCAACATCAAGTGCAATAAAATAAAGGGTTAATACCTGATTAAGTCCCTTGACTATTATCACTCAAATTCGTCTCATTTTTTATTGGATTCAATTTGGTCCTCAACTATGATAGTTGGACCTGATTTAGTCGCAATCCGTGATACACATTTGTTCTGAATAAGGTGTTTAGCATGATCACCAAGTTTTGATGCAAGTTCGGACTTAATGTGACCCTCACCTATGCAATTTGGACTCAACCTAGTCATCAATGTATTGAAATACTCTTCTTAATTACAGTAAAATATGCAACATAATTAAATTGAGTCTAAGATGCATAGTCGAGGAACAAATTGAATACAAAAGAAAACCAAGGACCAAACTGCAAAAAGTTGTATAGTGGAGAGATCAAATTAGGTATTAACTCTAAAATAAGAGGTGAAAAGAAAGAGAACGAAATTAATGTACTCGCTCGGTAAGGATTTAAATTCCTTAGCTGAATGGCTTGATATGACTTCAGGTTACAGAACATGTGAATCCAAGTAATCATGCCAAAAGATGTGAGTAATAGAGGCGTTGAAGAGCGTGTATAGTTAGCAAGTGCTATTCCTAGCATAATTCCGATGCCTTTGCTCACCATTCCTTGTGCTTCTCCCTTAGCAATTACCTAGCATTATGGAAACTTTAGAAATAAGCCATGTTCATATAAATGCATTGTGTCACAAAAAAACAAACATTTGAAAACAATCAACTGAAAGACAATGATTACAATCGTTAGACAGGAACTTTAGACCAAATTAGTTTATAGATTAAGGGTCTGTTTGGTTGGGGGGGAATATTTCTCTAGAAAATTTCAATTCTAATTTTCAACACTTGGTAACATAAGTGGTAGGAAATAAATTTTGAGGAAAAATATTCTCTCAAAGAGGGAAAAATGACTTGTTTTCTTTGGACGGAAGTTTATTTCCCTACTCACTCCTCTAGGTGCAACCAAACTTCGACATTGACGTGTGGCCCCCAACCCCATTCTCATTCAACGTGCTACATCTCATGCATAGGGATGGCAATCTGACCCAAACTCGACCTTAACCGACCCGATTGAAGCTTAAAATATCTAAGCCCAAATTGAGAAAAAAGTATCCAAACCCGAATCAAGAAAATGAAACTTGAGCCTGAACTAAATCGGGTTAGGTTTGGATCATAGAGTTTACTGAACCAAACCTAACCCGGGTGTGTGCATAGTAATTTTTTAGTGTAAAATAGAAGTATGGAACTACAAGCAAAAGCTTATAAAAAAGTGTCATTAATGCAATGTGTGGACACCATTAAAACACACCTCACTAAAGTTATTATTCTATACAAAATCAAATCCAAGCAAGTGGGTGCAATACCAATTCACGCACAATTATGTTCCTATGAGTAATAAGAGACTGATCTTCACAATAGTGCTAAGGGTGGATGAAAACATCTCTGAAATGAACTCATACTTCTTGGACATTAAGAATTTGGAGCACATTGGATAAATCAGGAGTAACTAGACAAATATTTTCAAAGGAACAATAAAAATATTGAGATTTTTTATACTCCCTCCGTCCGGAAATAATCTTCCCACTCTACTCTTTTTTCCGTCCGAAAATAATCTTCCCATTCTACGTTTTTATTCCCACTCTTCCAAAAATACCCTTCTTTCTCCTCCTCCATTCCTTCTACTCAATCACCCCTACCCTTTTCTTTTCTCTGCCCCGATTGACCATTCCACACCCCCCCCCCATCTTTTTT